GATGATGTATTACACTGGGCGAATCTGCTGCCAAAGACCTCTTTAAAGAGATGATGGGCAAGGATGTCTCTTTGAAGACTAAGGTGCACCTAACCCAAGCCATGGGAGCTCTGGTAGCACAGTGCCTAAGGCATTTGACTGCTAACCAGAAGGCTGGCGGTTCAAACCCACCAGCCACTCCCCTGAAGGAAGATGGGGCAATCTACTTCCATAGTGATACTGCCTCAGAAACCCAAGGAGGGGTCGCTATGAGTCGGGTCCAACTCAACAGCACATAACAATAACAACCCAAGCCATAATATTTTTAATAGCCTCATCTGCATGTGAAAGCTGGACATATGAATAAGGAAGACCAAAGAGTTGATGCTTTTCAGTTGTGGTGTTGGTGAAGAATACTGAAAGTACCATGGACTACCAGAAGAACTAACAAATCTGTTCTGGGAGAAGTGCAGCCAGAATGCTCCTTGGAAATGAGAATGGCCATACTTCGTCTCACCTACTTTGGAGAAGGATATTATGGTTGGCAATGAGGAGGGTCAATGAAAAAGGGGAAGGCCCTCAACGAGATGGATTGGCACAGTGGCTGCAATGATGCACTCAGATATAGAAAGGATTGTGAGGCTGGCACAGGACCAGGCAGTGTTCTGTTCTTTTGTACATATGGTCACTATGAGTCTGAACTGACTTGACAGAACCTGACAACAGAGAGAACAAGATTGAGATGATAGTTGATAATTATCTCAAAGTATAGTAGAATCTTTTTTGCTAAATTACCAAATTATTTTATTTATTTTTACTTATCTTCTGGCCAAATCCATAGGCTGTATGGGAAATGGCCTTGATTAAAGCAAGTTTATTATATTTTAGTTTCTATTCTTCTATCTGTTCCACAGAATATACTGCACAGTGGGTTTGATGGCATTACATGAACGCTTATGCCTCATAAATCCTTCTTTAGTTTTAAACTATACAAGCCATGTTGTCTCATCAATGGTCGTACAAAACTGACAGAAAGTAAGCATGACTTCATACAAGCATTGCTTTGTATTTCAAGATCATTAACAAAATCCAACAGTAAGCTGTCTCTACTAGATGTCCTGACTTTCTTCAAACCAATTTGTTTCTAAAACCCTTGCCTTATTTATCTTTGCCTTATTAAATATTGTACTGCCATGAAAGTTTCCCAATGACTTTGTAAGCATAAAGACATTTTTCTCAAATCCTTCTTTCTTTATGCCATATGATATTTTTTCAGGCCTTCTTTCTAGAAATTTTGTGTTTGAAAATATTCTACCCCTCGGCAAAAGATATCTACTCTTAGTTCTCAAAGACTTCTATACCTTCTAATGTGTGTGCTGCTCTGACAAGAAATATACCACAAATGGGATGGCTTTAACAAATAGGAATTTATTCTCTTAGCTTGGAGACTCTAAGTCTGAGTTCCAAGTGCCATGCTCTAGGTGCTGGGTGAAAGCCCCTCAACCTTGGGCTTCAGCTCTGCCTCTTGCTCCCAGCCCACTGAAGTTACAGGCATCTCTCCACTCAGGCAGCTGCTGGCTCTTAAGGCTGACAAACCCAAGGTTGACAAGTGAAAAGTCATAGTCCCAATATTACCAAACCACAGGGCAGGCCATTGATTCAAGTCTGTTGAAAGTCCCAGGATCAGCAGAGCATGGCAAGCTGCTGAACAACGACTCGGCTACATGCAGGATTCAAGTGCACCATAAGCTAGAGACCATTCCCCAAGGCTTCTTATATACAGGAAGCAGACCACATCCCTAAGGCAGTTACTCAGCTGTTCACAGTAGATTCCACCATGGAGTTGATGACCAGTCTCATCATGTTGTTGTTGTTGTTAAGTGCCGTCGAGTCGTTTCTGACTCATAGTGACCCCATGCACAGCAGAATGAAACACTGCCCGATCCCGCGCCAGCCCCACAATCCCTGCTATACTTGAGCCCATCATCGCA